CCCCCCCCCCAGGCATTTGATTATAAACTTACCCAAAGTGAGTACATATATGCTGAGCAAATTTGAATTACATGACTTACATAAAATGCCTACCAGGTACTATATAAATGTTGCTTTCCTTCCCTATGTTAATACTACCATGTTCAGACTTAATTAGATAACAACATGTGAAAAATGTGAGCAAGATGTCAGTTTTCTAGCTATCTCTTCATTCTGTGTCCCCGACAGCCCACATTTGATTCTCCCACAAAGAGAACTGGAGTACTTTGGTCTCTTGGGTTTGCAAACTACCTTCCTTCTCTGAGGAAAAAGTATAATTAAAGCCCTGAAGGAAAAAAAAGAGAATAAATGGAAACATGCTTTAACTTTCAGGACAACCCTTTAAGTGGCTAACAGTCAAGGCACTTTCTATGCTTTCAACCTGATTTGTTGGAGGCTCTGCGCTGCATTTTGCATCAGTTCATTAGCTACCAAATTCCAGATGAAAATCTGAATAGCAGATTGAGTGTGGACATGGGTGTTATCTGTTGCAAGAAAACTGCCTGCTTCATTTTTTAACACATATAACAAAGAACAGTTAATTCTCATATCTCTAGCTAGAATGATTTAATCTCCATAGAGTTCCACTGCTCTTGGAAGGCAACCAAATCTCTCCAACTTTTTCCTTTTTCACTCAGCATGGCATTGTATTGAAAGCTTCACAGGGCGAGGCATAATGAGGAATGAACTACATGAGGCTTTCACAGTGTATAGAATGTCATTGATTTCTGACTGAAACCAAAATTACTAATTTGAAGCATCAGCTCATTAAAACCACAGCTATGTATTTAGCCTCTTGTTATATCTGCTGCAGTTTATAATTATGAGGGCCTTTTTATCTACTCAATTAAACTTCTTATGATTCAGGCAGATTGTATTTGAACCTATGAGTCCTGGAGAGGCCACAGGAAACCATGTGTCTGTCCCTGATGATCTGATGTACCTTTATACTCCCAGGCTTGTTTTCCAAAGAGACAAAGGACTCCACAGCCCATGAAGAAATGCACAAGCCAGATATAATGAAATGTGTCATGTTATGGTGATATAAAAAGCACTGAACAGTCAAACTCAATTTATTCCTAATTAACTAAAAGTCTTTGGTTTTCTGTCTATAAATTATCTTTTTGGAATCTCTGCTTTACAGAAAGAAGCACAAGTTCCATTTAACTACAGGCATACCTCAGAGATGCTGCATTTTCTGTTCCAGACCACCGCAATAAAGTAAGCTTCTCAATAAAGCAAGTTGTAATCTTTTTACTGGTAGAGGGTCTTTCCTTCAATTTGTGAAAGATGCAATATCCATAAATGCACTAAAAATGAAGTGCAATAAAATGAAGTAAGGAGTGATAGTGAGAAGCTTCTCTCCAGAATGAGGCTTTTATATTAGCTCTGATTTCGACCACCTGTCTGATTCCTTGGTCTCCAATAACAGAGAAACTGCCCTTGTTAACACAGGACTAAAAGGCGAAAGATTTATATGTTCTGAAGAGAAACACTCAACACAGGAGTAAACTAAGGCCCTCTTGAGATGAGAGGAGCTGTCCCAAGCCCTCATCAAGGTAATGACAAAGGAAGATATGGGCCTATGTCTCTTCTGCCTTCAAATTCAAGCGATTTCTACCCATCTCCTCCTTTCCTTAGGTACTTCATATCCTTTTCCTTAAATCTGATCCTTTACACAGGTAACTCCATTTTCATCATTAGAAGTCACCGGTGCATTCATGGGATTATAAAACCCATGTGGATTCACTGAGATTGAGAATGTTCAATTATGCCATCTTCATTAGCTCACAGTGATATCACACCCAGACTGACAATTCAGGATAGTCTCTTAGAACGAAGATTGTTGGAGCAGGAAGAGACTACCAATCATGTAGTTCTGGAACATAATTTTACAGATGAGGAAATTGAACTGAGAAGGGTAATGGGCCTCACAGCAGGTTGTGGCTAAACTAGGAGGCAGGAACTCAGGTCTTCCAATTCCCAAACTGGTTCTCTTCCTAATACCCCATGGTTTGTCCCTTTTGCCTCCCAGGTTTTCATCACACTTAAAAATAAATATTTGTCTCATTTGCACTCCACTGGTCAACTTTTCTTAGGATTATATTTCATTAGAAATTGCCAGTAGGGAAAAGTTTAAGAATTTAATTTGGATTCAAGTATAGGAAAACCATTAGTTTCCTTACACCAAAATGTACAGACCCTAAAGGGATTGTAAAAATTAACTACATCTGTGGGAAGAAGCTAAGTGAAGGAAAATAAAAACCAGTTAAAACCCATTTGGTTTGTATATTTCATGAAGTTTAATAATCAGTTTACCTAATTAGGTTATTTTACAAGGCTACTTGAGGAAACATTAAAGAAAAACACTGACATATTAAAATGACAAGTTTCTTTAAAAATACTTCTAACTAATACAGATTTACTATAGTAATGATGTACATGAAGGTAAATAATTCAATCTCACTTCTCTTCTAATCATCTGGCACTAAAATACATTTAGTTTGGCTAATATCTTTGTAAAAACATAAAAAAAAAAAATACGTATTTAATTCACCCAAAAGACAAACATAAGCTATAATTCCCTCCTTGTGGCTCTCCTGAATGAATTTCTGCCATCTATAACATTTGTAGGTATTTATACTTACTACATCTTCCAGAATTCCAAGTGGTACTTTTTTCAATATCTACACCTATTTTGAATTTAACACTGACCTAATCTCTAAATAGCTTCTATTAGTTAAAAAAAAAAAGAAGCTCTGCTATTCAATGCCTTCAAAATCATGCCCAAGTTATGTACTTATTTTATCTGCTAATACCCATGAGCAGTTAAAAAGCTAAAAATAGGTCATAATTATTTTACACATATAGGCCAACCTACACAGAACAACTCTGTCTTTCAAATTAGGAAAAAGCTGCCCAAAATATTTCCTCTCTGTGCCCATTAAGTATCAGGAATTCTTTTCCAAGTCAAAGTCTTGATATAGCTTAGCTTCTTATAAATGACACTTTTAAAGGTTTTATTTTCAGTTAGCTATAGCAAGACAATTTCAATAACTACTTAATTTAAAACAATATTTTCTCAGAAATAATTTTCTTAATTACTTTTAAACTAAGGAAATTAATGCCCTTAATGAGCAGTTTATAATTGACAGTTTTAAGCTACCTCTATTTTCATGTCTCACCAAAACCTTTGATCTGCATGTATTCACTAATTTTTACCCAGGCAAATTCTAACCCCTTAAGGCTTACCCTTTGGGCCCCTGACTCTCCTTGGCATACTCACCCCACAGAGCTCTGGCCCGAGCATACAACGGACCAACAGCATGAGATCAAGACTGCAGCAAGTAACTGCCAGGCGTAGCCTGCTTCTCCCGCTGCTCTATGCATACTCTCATGTCAGGCTTATTTTCTTATGCGTCACATGAACCTATAGTTATAACTTCCTCCTGGGTTATACTTCTCCCTCCATAATGAGACGAAGGTTGTCCCCTCAAAATTCATATGGTGAAGTCCTAACCCCACCCATACCTCATAATGTGACCTTATTTGAAAATGGGGTCATTGTGGATGTAATTAGATAAGATGAGGTCATATTACAGTAGGGTGAGTCCCTAATCCAATATGACTGGTGAACTTATAAAAGGGGGAAATTTGAACACAAAGATACACAGGTAGAATACTAACTGATGATAAATACAGAGATTGGGGTGATGCTGCTACAAATCACAGAATGCCAAAGATTGCCAACAAACAACCAGAAGCTCAGAGAGAGGCCTGGAACAGATTCTCCCTCACAGTTCTCAGAAGAAGGAACCAAACCTAGGGGCACCTTGGTGTCAAACTTCTAGCTTCCAGAACAGGGGGAATAAATCCCTTTTGTTTAAACCTCCCAGCTTGTGGTACTTTGTTACAGCAGCCCTAGCAAACTAGTACACCTCCAGACTGCGTTTCTGAGCCAGTTCACAATGAAAATGTTGAGCTTCATCACGGTGAATATAGATAACCAAGATCTTAGAAATTGTCTCTTTTACTCCAAATTATGTCGTTATCCATTCCTTTTCCTTCTACCCAAGTGCAATTCAGCCTTCCTTCCTCCTTTCCTGCTCTGACTGAGAGAACTGTGAGTGTTAAATGAAATTGTCACTAGAGAGGAATAACACATTTCTGCTTCCTATTTATCTGAAAAAGTGCCAAGTTTACTGTTCAGCTCTCCATAAATATTTTTTGACTGACTAAATAAACAAATGACAGGAAAACATATTTTTTTTCTGCCCAAGTTCAGTGACAAATGTTGATAATGATATTAATTAATATATTAATTAACTTGTATATTTAATCAGTAAATATTTGAGACACCATGTTTGGTGCTGAGAGAAAAAAAAAGACACAGTACAAGCCTTTGAGAAAGTCATAGCCCAGAAGGAAAGGTAAATGCACTCAAAAATAATCACAGTACAGGGTAACTCATGCTATGACTATAGAAACAAAGTGCTGTAGGAACATCCTCAGGTTGGCATGAGGTGGGAAGCAAAATCAGGCAGCTGTGTTCCAGCTGGACTTTGAGCAATGGAGGAGTTCACATTCTGTACATCAGCTAGTTCAAGTACACACTAACCAAGTGGCACTAAAGATGATCTCATGGGACAAATATGGACAAGTTAACAAGATTAAAGATGCACCCAAGCTCAATTCCTCCGATTGTCTGTCCATGTTTGGTGAAACTGGTCTAAAACACTGTTGGGAAAACAAGATTTTCTGCTTTGGGGAATCTAGAAGATGAGGGTCTGGTCTTTGCAAATGCTTGTATTCAAGGGTAAAGTCCTAATTGCACCTGTGATTATGAGAGCGAGTCTTACAGAAAGAAATGGATGACTGAGATAAGCATATGAATTGTGAGCTCATAAAGAATACATGAGATTTCAAAGGGAAGCATTTATTTTTTTCCTGTATTATACTACATTGTCTCTCTATATGATTAGTTATCAGTCTCAGTTATCCAAAACTGGTATGAAATAAAGCATCTATGCAGTTATGCTTCATTGATGTCAGCTAGGGGAGCATGAAAATCTCCATGAAGGTGGGTAATTGACATGTAAATCAGAGCTCAATCACTCTGTAATAGAAATGGTCCCACTGAAAATATGCTTTTTGAACACAATCACATAGAAGCCAGAAGGAGGGAGGGAGTGAAAAAATAGAAGGTTTATTTATTAAAAATGATAATACCTGGCAATTTGTGCAATTTTCTCTTCAACAGAGGGTTGCTGTCAGAAATGCTTGCATGCAAGTTGTGACCAGTATATCCAGATAGTTTCCTTCTGTTCTAATAAACTGCCTCTGCTTTATTTCAATGCTCGGAGACCCTGCTGTGGGTGTTTAAAAGGCAAATTAAAACAACATGTTCATCTTTTGAAACATGACACATGTTAATGACGTCAATGATAATAACTTGGTTAACAATCCTTATTCTAGGTATGCTCACTATTGTTATTAAAATCTTCTGTCACTTTGCCTTTGCTCTCTGAAAAACAGTGAATAAAAGTGTACATTGCCTTGCAATTTAATATTTTAATATTTCACATTTTAAACAAAAGTTACTTGATCAAATAGCAGTTCTTATTTCTATTATCATTACAGTTGTAATCATTATTTAAATTGTCATGATAGTGTTTGGTGACTTTTCTTCTCCTCTACTGCTCTCACTGAATAAAGAGAAAATTTTCTAGAGCAAATACTGCCACAGTAGGTTTAATAGCCAATATTCTTGCCAATTAGTATGAAAATGAAAGTGCTAGCTTTTATTCCAGATCTTTTGAAAAGAGCATTTGAGTTAATATGGGAGGCAAGTTTATCCCAAGAATCTAGTATGGATCCAATAGATTTACCCACAAATGCAAAATCCATTCTTGAGTCTTGTCATAGTGCATAAACACACTCCCTTACATATATGATAAGCACAGTACATGTGGGAGCACAGAGCAACAGCATTGGTACAGATGTGCTCTGCTGTGGAGGGGCCTCTGCTTAGCTGAGGTGACCGGCCAAACCTGTCATTCAAAAGTATGGGTGTGCCGATTGCTTATGTCATGTCCACTGCTGGGCCTTAACCTAAATGTTCTCACCTTAACAAAATTCCTGTATAAAGTGGATTGCAATGTGTGACTAAGGGGAGGGAAGAGAAATTGAGGGCTGATTGAGGAGAGTTTAGCTTTGTCTATCTGGTGTAATTTTTTGAAGGTGAATGAATTCACATATTATCAATATAATTACAAATTAAATAACTGAATCTGGTGTATACCAAGATTTA